AACGTATGATCTAAAGTCGACAGATGTGTGTGCTCGTAAGGTTGTAAGTTTCTTATGTGAGAAATTGCGAGGTTTACAACAGGACCAAGTTTTGCAAAATAGAGCAGAGGAAGCTATCTATGAGGCTATTAAGAATGGAATCCCAGATATTGTGATTGAAATTGAACCCACTAAAAATCTATTGTGGGCCAGCGCTAGCACTCGTTATGAAGTTTTAAAAACCATGGTTGCATATGCTATAGAACATCGTCAAGAGGAAGTGGCAAAATATCTTTATAAATATAGGGCAGATATATTTTCTGACATTGATGAAGATGGAAACAATAACTTACATCTAGCAGCAAAGTTAGCGCCTCATTTTCAACTAGATCGCATCTCTGGTGCAGCTTTGCAGTTGCAAAGTGAATTACGCTGGTTTAAGGTAATACTTGTTTAGTTTTTATCTTTATATATATATTTTTAATTAATTGGTAATTCTTTATTTCGTATACTATGTGATTATTAAATTATTTTAATAAAAATAATGCATCATTCTTAGAAAATTGAAAAAATTTATTCAATTGAGATAACTAATTCTATTGATTTTTTAATTTTTTATGAGATGAAAATTTATGTCACATTTTATCCCAGATAATCTGATTTCATAAATTTTGATTTATTATTATTTTCTCACTTAACGAATGCAGTCGGTGGAAGCAATTGTTCCACGGTTCTACACTGAACAGAAAAATAAAAATGGTGAAACTCCTTGCCAAGTGTTTGTTAAAGAACACAAGAACTTGTTAAAAGAAGCTGAAGAATGGATGAAGAGAACTGCTGAATCTTCTACAGTCGTAGGTGCTCTTATTATCACTATTATGTTTGCTGCGGCTTTTACAGTTCCAGGTGGGAACGATCAAAATACAGGCTTCCCCGTATTTTTGAACACAACGGCACCGGCAGAATCTTTTACGGTTACACCGTTTAAGGTATTCATAGTATCAGACGCAATTTCCCTTTTTACTGCATCCAGTTCAGTGTTCATGTTTTTGGGGATTCTCACTTCACGTTACACTTATGAAGATTTTCTTATATCCTTGCCGATGAAGTTGATTGTCGGTATTTCTTCACTCTTCATCTCTATTGCAACATTGACAGTAGCATTTTGTGCTACTCTTTACGTGATGCTACGAGGTCAAGGGAAGGAAGTCATTCTAATAACTGTGCTTGCTGGTATTCCTATCATGTCCTTTGCGTTGTTGCAGTTTCGTCTTCTTGTTGAGATTATTGCTTCAACTCTTAGGCCAGCCATCTTTGTTAGAAAAACTGCAACAGCACAGTTGGTTGAATGGCTGGGCGATAATATTCCCATCCTTCCATTTGTGGTAAAAATCTGGGTGCGGATGTACCGACTTTATATGAGAAGCTGAAACGGATAGTCATGGTTAAGTGTATTTTTTGTGTTTTAGCTATGTGGAGCAATTAAACGACTCTAGTCTATATATTTTCTAGTTGGAATAAATACTTGGTGGATCGATGTATATTCTTTCCAGATTTCGAAGTCACATTCTTCTTTGCAAATTGCATTATTATTGCTAATTCATTTTCCACCTAAGTTCAATAATTACATAATTAAAAGTTTTGTCTATTTAAATTTAGAGACATCCGCAAACATAACAGACATCATTTAGAGCATGGTTTTGCAGAGCTTTTAAGTAATTAACTTCCTTAAAAGCCATTTGTTGTCTCGTAAATTTCTAATTTTTTCGGAAGAAAATTTTAAATATGGCTTATAATCAAGTTTTAAAACAAGCATACAATCAGGTCGAATTCAAAATAAATAAAAGATTCAAAACCTTGAAGAAAGCCAGATTGTTTTATTCAAAGATGTCAAGAACAATTTTACAGATGTGTAGAATTTTGCAGGATGGGCCAAGCCCCAGACCACACCAGAGAACTCGGAAGGGCTCCATGGGTCTTGATCGGACCATGGATTGCACCGATTTACTAACTGATTTGATCGGGAATGGCGCCATCGTCTAGATCTCAGGTGGGTAGAGGCAACGAAGTGCCCGTCGGCGATTTGTTTTTTTACCCAAAAAAAAAAAATCAGGGTATCCTTTTTCTTAATAATGTCATAATATTTTATCAATACGTGATATAATATAAGTTTTAATTTTATTAAATTTATGATTTAATTATTATTAAATATTTTAATATTTTTAATGTTACACACTTATTTTTTTTTCTTCATTTTTTTCTTTAATTTCATTTATTCTTTTATTTCGATTATCACAAAATAGATAATCAATGTCAGCATAGGGGTGTCCAAGTCATTGAATGAGTTCCAGGTAACTAAAAGCCGTCAAGGGAGGACTTGATTTTTGAATGTTACTTTTTTCAGGGTTGAAAACCCTTCTTCAGGGTAGTAAGAATTGGCTTCGAGGACATATATACTTATTCAGTCCTGCCTCCATGTCTGAAAAGTATGGATAGGACTATTTCACTTGCACTGACCCTGCTTCAATGCTGGTGCCTTGCCCGTGGTGGGTGAGAGTTGGAGAGCTGTACAAGTGATTCAGCATGACAACTAGTGATTATGTAATACAACAGCATAGATAATCCTTTTGTTTTTCCCCTCTTTCAATTTCTCTGGGGAAGAAGTTAGAAAATCAATATTGTTTTAAGAGACATTATAATAGTTAAGAGTTTAAATTTTCATATTGAAAAATATCGAATTTAAATCTTAGAACAGATAAGAAGGGATTTGAAAAAAAAAGAGTTATCCGTATATCCTATTATTTAATGTACAAAAAGATAAAAACTTATATTAACTCCATGAACAAACTAACAAAATGAGTTTCTTGTTAGAACAAGATAAATCTCCTTCATCCCAACCATCACTACATATTAGTGCCATGAGAACTACAAGTAGAATGGAAAAGAGCACCAAAAGCATTTTAGAACTCTTATATTCCGACGGCTGATTTTGTTGCTAGACTTCAGAATTTCAGTTTTAATAACGGGAACTACTTCAAGAAACTCTTGCAGATTACCATCAGCAGGACTATCTGTTGATGATACAGATTCAGAGACACCTTCATATTGCTCAGCATTATTACATAAACTTTCCTTCCTGTTAACCTCATGCATCAGATCATGTTGAAAACCATTTTGCCTTGGGGATGGGCGGGATTGGAATCTTCCGGAGGATAGACTTCTGAACCTCCTTGTTTGTTTTTCAGAGAAGTCTGACTTAACAATATTAGGGTCCTGAAGTGGGTGAATTAGCTTCCTTGGAGTAGTGAAGATGTTAATGTCATCAACGTTAATGTGACATCGTGACCTCTGAAATGGATGATGAGCAACCAGATCAACACCAGAAAAAGGAAATTGTATTGCAGTACATTACACTTGTAGAACTAGTTGGCACAATAAAACGAAATAAATTTGAGAAGCAATTTTTGGAGGACAAATTTATCTGTGATGCTATCCTAAAATTGGCAAACTGGACTTTTTAGAAACTCCAGTTAAGTACTGGATGCAATTATCAAGAGTTAAACCAAATACACACACAAGTAAAAACCAATTATGTCTAGAATGCAGACAGTAGAAGCTACACCCATTTGCATAAAATCCCATATCCATGCTTAAGGAGTATATCCTAATAAGAAATTTCAAGAGAAAATACTGGCCAGAGAAAAAAAAGACAAAAGGTGAGTACAACTTTACCTGAGGACTGGGAGTGGTACTTCTCAGAGGTCCATTTCTAGGACTTCTCTGCAAGAACCCTGAAAATTCATCTGTGTTTTCTTCTCCATTACCAGTATATTCATGGTGCTCAGAAGGTGAGTCATAGAGAGGAATAACCCCAGTTACCTCATGGAACAAACCATCCCTGAGGGATACATCCACTCCATTTTCATAACTCCAGAGCTTCCAGTTCACACTCCTACAGTCATATCCCATATTATGAGAAACCTGAGTGGTTGAAACTGGTGACTCAACAAAAGAATCATATTCACCAAAAGAAT